GCATGTGGTGCTGGGGGATAGAACTGCGGTCCCTGTGCTTTGCTAAGCTTGTTCTAAGTAGGTGCTTTAGACCACTGAGCCATCTCACCAGCCCCCTAGCATTTTTTTTAAAGCAAAAACCCCACCTTTATATTATGCCAACATGAGAAGTTAGAGACAGACAGTGCAAGCCCCGCCCAGACATCTTCAGACTGACAATACCTGGGTTCCGATGTGTTCCCTGGCACAGGCTGCACTCTTCATCAGAATCCGCCGCTAATCATATACGCCAGCACTCAGGAGCAGGACAATTCCAGGAGGGCCTTCTAAGTGACCAGGACCAGGTCCAGGGGCACCAGGGCATGCTGGTGCCCCGACGTAGGGTGTCAGGAGTATCCTACAGGCATCTAGTAAGACCTGGGGTCACACGGGTTCAGGACCACAGGGGCCCAGGCTTTCTCTGGCCCCTACTGTGTGGCCTGAACATATCTTTTCTGTTATTAAATTGGGGTCCAGGTTTGAGGCCTGTGGGTTTGCTGGAGAAATCAAGTGTGTTTCTCTGGACCCTTCTGGAGATTTTTTTTTTTTTTTGGTGGAACTGGGGATTGAACTCAAGCCCTGGTGCTTGCCAGGCAAGCACTTATTCTACTGAGCTATCTCCCCAGCCTTTTTTTTTTTTTTTTTTTTTTTTTTTTTTTTTTTTTTTTTTTTTTTTTTAAGATAGGCTCTTGCTGTGTAGTTCTGGCTGGCCTTGAGCTCCCTTTGTAGTCCTGGCTGGTCTTGAATTCACAACCATCATCCTCCTGGAGAGTCTGAGCAGGCCACCATTTCCTGTGTTGACCCTGCAAGAGTTAGGCAGGAAGTGAGATAAAAGGCATCAATAGTTAAGAAAGAAGCCCTCCAGGCACAGTACATTTAATGCAAACTAGCCTCTATTTCTAGAACAGGGCTTACAGCATTCTGGGGTGCCCGGCCCAGGGCCCAACCCACCAGGAAAGGAAATAGCCTTTAAAAGCCTTTTGCAGTGGGCTGGGACCTTAGCACTTACTCTTGTAAACTTTTCTCAGTTTCTGACATGATTAGGGTCACCGAGGAAGACATTTATTTTGCAATCCCAAAGTAACTTCTCAGATAACTGGCTGATGAGCATCATAATCACCGTCATTCTGCCCAAGTCACTCTGGGGCCATGTCTCTGTGACACTGGCCCCTCGCTTGCTTGAAGGCGTAACTCTATGTGCACTCAATAAACTCTACCTGCACTGTTGCCCACAGTCTGGGTGTCATGACTGAATTCTTTCATCGAGGGACAGGGAAAGTGACTGACCAGTTCCTCACGGCTATGGGACTGACTTGCTGGTGACACAAGACCACGACCACCATTATCTCCCCTCAGCCTTGTGGCATTGCTGAGAGACACCTGTCATCTTTGTCATTTCAGTGGGCTGGGAGCATAAAGGGACTTTTGCAAGGTCACACAGCCAGCTCTATGTTGATAGGTTTTCGATGGTGTCGCAGCAGAGAAGCAGGCAGAAGGAAAAAGGGAAAGGGGCTTCATTGTCTTGGAGGACACCGAGAGAATCTCGGGAAGATAAGGAAGTCTCTGGAATGAAGCAAAGGGAGGCTGAGGCTTTTATGGTCTGTTGCCAGGGCTGGGGTTTGAGGGGATGTGTAGATACACCTGAGGAGCGGATTGGGGTCTTCCTGAGGTGGCGGGAAAGGTGAAAGGAAATTGCACCCTGGGCTGAGCTGGAGAAGGGGGAGGTGGTCTCGGGGAGGATAAGATGTTGTTTTAAGGGCTTCAGCCATATTAGATGACCACCATAATAATTCAGCAGTTCATACTAGGGCCATGTCCTATCATATATCACCATCAGAAGGGAGACTCTGCCCAGGTCTTAAGACTCTGAAGCCTGTTACAGCTGGGTATCCTGGGTCCCTCTGCATTTCCATAGGGCCTCTGTGAATAAAACCAGGCCTGGGGACTCGGGATGTGTGGACACCTGGGCCCTCAGTTTGTGACTCGCCTCAGGCGATGTGGTCTCTGACAAGCCCCCTTCTGTCCCCATCCTTTTTGCACTCTGAATACCTCCTACAGGTACACAACAAGCTTTGGCTATAGTGTGCAAAGCTCTGTGTGTGTGTGTGTGTGTGTGTGTGTGTGTGTGTGTGTGTGTAGCATGATACCCCACACTGCCCTGGCCACTGCCTTCTGGAGCAGACCCCCTCTGAGGGCTGGGTGAGGGCAGCTCCAAGGGCTGAGGGGTTCACTGGGCACCCTAGTCCTCCCCCGGGGCCCTCCCCCAGGGCCCTGGGGATGTAGCCCTGTACTTCCCACGCTCGGGGCTGCACTGTTTACACAGAGTTCCTGGGAAGCCAGCTGGGGTGGCCCCTCCGCCTCTCCTGGTTCCCAAGCCTAGACTGTGACTCATGAGTGCGGGGCAGGCAGCGCCCAGGACCGCGGACTGGACAGTCCCTATTCGTGACAGCTGGCTGCAGGCTACCCTACACTGCAGCTTTGCCTTCATATCTCACGCTATCTGTAAGGGCTCTCAGCCCACTCTACAAGAAGGCAACTGAGGCACACAGCTTTTGGTTCTGTTCCTTTTTGTTGCTGTTGTTTGTTTTCCCGTAACTGGGGATTGAACTCAGGCCCTTGCACTTGCCAGGAAAGTGCTTATTCCACTGAGCCACTGTTTCATGTTTTTGAGACCAGGTGTGACTAGGCAGCCCAAGCTGACCCTGAACTTGGGATCTTCCTGCCTCAGACTCCGGAAGGCTGGGGGCCAAGGCTGGCCATCAGCCTGAAGCTTTGTCCTGACCCCTACACCTCCTTGGGGGTGCTTCTGGGGCTCCCACTCTCTGAGTGGTCAGAGGTCTTGGGAACCAGCGTTCAGGCCTGTGCCCCCACCCCCGCGCCTCCCAGGGTGCCCTGTGGCTTTGTTGTGGTGCCCTCCAGCAGGGGCGCGGGCACAGGCAGTGAACGGGCAGGGTGGTGCCGGCTGCACCTAGCGGCCTCCCTTGTAGGAAGGGAGCCCAGGGCCATCTGAGGGCAGGAGCTACAGGGGCTGAGGTCGGGGGCCAGAGGAGGGGACACCAGAGGGGAGGAGCTGGGTCTCGGCCAGGCCAGACTCTGGGGTTCTTTGTCCGGAAAGAGGATGGAGGGACGGGTGTGGGGTTTGCCTGGAGTCCGGGGCCTGCAGGAGATACGCATGACATCGGCCACCCCGGGGCCGGGGCAGTGATTCGGAGGCGCGGCTGAGACAAGGGGTGAGGACCGTGGGAGCCTGGGCTCCTCGTTGCCCCTTGGCGGCGACAAGTGCTGGCTGCACCGCGCTCAGCCGCTGGCGCGCGGGCTCGGCTAGAAGACTGGGGAGACAGACGGCATGGTAGGAGGGCGACGCCGCGACAGCCGGGGGGGGGGGCAGAGTGGGTCTCTCGGGGCCTCGTCGGCCCTGGAGCATTTCTGTCATTTCCCGCGTGGGTCGCCCCTCGGGATCCTGGGTGGGGATGAGGGGGTGACTCCAGGAGAGGAAAGGGAGCCCCAGAGCTGACAGGCAGGAGGATCGCCGCTGGGAGTCTAGCCTGGCCTGCAGAGCGAGACCCTGCCTCAAAAACAGACTGAAAAAAAAAAAAAAAAAAAAAATAGAGCGAGCCCCCGAGGGCACAGAAGACAGCCAACCTAACTTTTGGGTGAAGCATCATCGTTTTTAGCTCTCCTCTGCCTCACTGACCCCCACCCGACCCAGTCTCTGCCCAGGGTGGTGACCAGACCCTCGGAGGCCAGCGGGCACCTCGCCCTTGGTGTGCGCCTGGAGCTTGGTCCTCCTGCGCAAGAACCGGCCTGAGAAGTCACCCCAGTAGAAGTCATACAGCCTGGAGTCCCAAGCCTGGAGCTGCTTCCATGGGACGATTCTGAACACCCATCATCCCAGCACTCCGGAAGGCTGAGGCAGGAGGATCACGAGTTTGAACCCAGCCTGGGCAACCTAATGCCTTAGTGAGACCCGGCCTGAAAATAAAAAGGGCTGGGGATGAAGTTGGGTGTGCAGGCCGCGGGTTAAATGCTCAGCGCCTTTCTCTCCCCCCCACCATGCTCAGCACCTTTCTCTCTCTCTCTCTCTCTCTCTCTCTCTCTCTCTCTCTCTCTCTCACACACACACACACACACACACACACACGAAAAGGAAAAAAGAAAGGCCACATGTATGTTTCCGACTACTGCACTTTCTAGTGCGCGGCAGAGTTCCTTCTTCTGGTGGCTCGTGTGATCATGGTCCCTTCCGTCCCCCCTCGGTTTGATGAGCCAGGACATAGCCCAGGTTCCTCAGGCGACTTTTCTGGGCCTTTTTGCAGCCTCCTTTCTGCCCCGACTGCCCCGTGCCCCTGGGAGACCCGGCCCCCACACCCTGCAATGGCAGTGAGCCCACGGTGGACTTTGACCCTGAGGACCTGAACCTGACCAACGAGGCCCTGAGACTCAAGTACCTAGGGCCGCGACGGACGGAGCTGTTCGCGCCCGTGTGTGCCGCGTACTTGCTCATCTTCGTGGTGGGCACGGCGGGCAACGTGATGACCTGCACGGTCATCCTACGCCGCAGGGCCATGCGCACGCCCACCAACCTCTACTTGCTCAGCCTAGCCACAGCCGACCTGCTGCTGCTGCTGCTGGGGCTGCCCCTGGAGCTCTACGAGCTGGCCCGCAGCTACCCCTTTCCGCTGGGCAGCGGGGGCTGCAGCTTCCGCACGCTGCTCTTCGAGACTGTGTGTCTGGCGTCGGTGCTCACCGTCACCTCTCTGAGCGTGGAGCGCTATGTGGCGGTGGTGCGCCCCCTGCAGGCCAGGGCCGGGGTGACGCGCGCCCGCGTGCGTCGCGTGCTCGCGCTCCTCTGGGGCCTGGCGGTGCTCTGCTCGGTGCCCAACACCAGCCTGCACGGCCTGCAGCAGCTGCAGGTGCCCTGCCGCGGCACGGTGCCTGACACGGCCGTGTGCACGCTCGTCCGCTCCCGGGTTGTCTACAGCCTAGTGGTGCAAGGCACGGCGCTGCTTTTCTTCTGCCTGCCCCTGGGAGCCATTAGTGTGCTCTACCTTCGAGTTGGACTGAGGCTGCAACACCATGGGCGGCTGCCTGACAGGGGCCGCACGCCGGTGACCAAGATGCTGGGTAAGTGTCACTGCAGGAAGAGGCTGATCTAGGTACTGGGTGTGGGATTGAGCTCCAAGGGCTGTAGGTGTTCATAAAACGCCGCATGGCTTAGAGAACTCTGTATGTGTGTGTGCGTGCACGCATGTGTGCACACGTGTCTGTCCCAACGTGTATGTAGACCCTTTTATTTTTATTTTTTTGAGACAGGGTCTTGCTATGCTGAAGTTCAGGCTGGCCTCAAACTCACAATGATCCTCCTGCCTTAGCCTCCTGAGTGCTGGGATTAAGACATGTGCCACCATGCCCAGTTTGCAATGTAGACCGTTTTTGATTTTTTTTTGGGGGGGGCAGGGGGGAAGGATCTACAGGATGTTCAAGGTCTCGTCTGTCCCAAGAGCTGGGATTACAGGCATGCGCCATCACGCCCATCTCAGCGAGCCACAGGGGGCGGGGCCGGGATCCAACTCCTGGCCCCTGTGCTTTAATCTGTTGAGCTATTTGGCTGGTCCTGTACACCTTTTATTTTCATGTCTTTTGGGTTTTTTATTTGTTTTTGGGTTTTTTTATTTAAAATTTTTTTTAAAAAAATAATTTTTTGGGGCTGGGGAGATGGCTCAGTAGAATAAGTGCTTGCCTGGCAAGTACAGGGTCTTGAGTTCAATCCCTGGTTCTGAAAATAAATAAATAAATAAATAAATAAAATAATTTTTGTTTATTTGGCAGTATCAGGACCTTGTGCTTGCCAGGCAAGCACTTATTGCACTGAGCTATCTTCCGGGCCCCATTTTTGGTCTTTTTTTTTTTCTGGCACTTGCACTTGCCAGGGAAGCACTTATTCCACTGAGCCATCCCCAGCCCTGCTTTTTTTTTTTTAATATTTATTATTTTTATTTATTACATTTATTTAGTGTGTGTGTGTGTGTGTGTGTGTGTGCGCGGCCAGCTCAGCCCACCAGGGGGCAGGGCTGGCTGGCATGTGGTGCTGGGGGATCGAACCGTGGTCCCTGTGCTTTGCCAAGCTTGTTTCAAGTAGGTGCTTTAGACCACTGAGCCATCTCTCCAGCCCCCAGCCCTGCTTTTTTGAGACAGGATTTGACTATGTATTTCAGGTTGGCCTTGAATTCACTTTGTACCTCAGACTGGCCTTGAACTCACAGGGATCCTCCTGCCTCAGCTTCCCAAGTGCTAGGATGTGTGGTGAGTTCCACCATGCCTGGACATTGGGCCCTTTTAGATGACGTTCCCAGCAGTTTACACCAGAGATAAACATTAAGGGCTGTCTTAGTAACTTCCTTGTTGCTAGGGCCCAACAAGACCTTACACCCACAATGTGGAGGAGTACAAGTATCTCTTGGCTCCTGTTTTTCGAAATTTCTGTTCATGTTCTGCAGGCTTAAACACAGTGGCCTGGCAGGAGGGCTGGGCAAGGGACCACTGCTGGGGGCGGGGAGCCAGGGAGATGAGCCTCAGGGTGCAACCTGGTGACCCAGACTGGCTCCAGTGGCTGTTATGGTCAGAACCCAAGAGCCAATGCTCACAAGCCCCACGTCCAGGAGAGGCGTAGGGTCCTTGGCTCAGTGCAGCATGGGCTGTGTTGTCTGCAAGGTCCTTTGTTCAGAGTTAGTAAGAATCCACAACAGCAATAGAGGAGCATTAAACCCAGCCCAGAGCCTTCCAGAACTGGGGACCTTTCCCCATGAGCACAGCTTGCATGGCCACAAAGCTGACCTATGCCTAGGAAGGGCTGTGGGAACAGGGACCTGGACCCTCCAGGATGGCTGCCCACCTCCCAACTCTAAGTACCACTGTGCACAGGCTGTAAGCAACATTGTTCACAAGACACCTGGGATTCCGAGGCAAACCATGCTGGGGGCGGGCTCAGATGGGAAGACACTGCAGGGCGAGGAAGGTGAGCTGGAGATCCAGGCGACTAGAAACTCAGCCAACGAGGTATGGTAGCACACACCTGTCATCCCAGGCCTCGGGAGGCTGAGGCAGGAGGATCTCTGTGAGTTCCAGGCCAGCCTGGGTAACATAGTGAGTTCAAGGCCAGCCTGAGCTGCACAGTGACACCCTGTCTCAAAAACAACATCAGGGGTCGGGGAGATGACTCAGTAGAATAAGCGCTTCCCTGGCAAGCGCAAGGGTCTGAGTTCAATCCCTGGTTCTGCCAAAAAAAAACCCAACCACATCAAAAGTTATTCAGTGGGGTTGAGGTTACTGGGTGTGGACCAGGGGCCAGGAACCAGGGCAGGTATTGGGGGGGGGGTGTGTGTGTGTGTGTGTGTGTGTGTGTGTGTGAATGCATGTGTCTCTGAGCCTGCCCCATCTCCTCTGTTCTTATGCATCAACAAGCATGGCCCAGTGGCACCCACAGGGGACCTTAGTCCCCCGTCGCTTCCACTAGGAGATTGGCTGCACTGAGAGCCCCACTTCCAAACTCCATGGGAGGGGACCATATCAGGCCAGCAGGTCCCATGAACTGTGGTCAGGGCGAGGCAGGCCAGGCAAGTTTCTAGATCCTTCTTGGTGGGTGACAGTTAGTGGCCCAGGAGGAGCTAGGAAGCAGGAAAGGCCCTGTGCCTACCCAAGTACCTTCTGTGTCATATAGTTGTGCTGGTTGTGGTGTTTGCCATCAGCTGGGCCCCATTCCATGCTGACCGCCTCCTGTGGAGCTTCGTGTCGCAGTGGACAGAGGACCTGCTGGTGACCTTCCAGCATGTGCACGTAGTGTCCGGTGTCCTCTTCTACCTCGGCTCGGCTGCCAACCCTGTGCTCTACAGTCTGCTGTCCAGCCGCTTCCAGGAGAGCTTCCGGGAGGCCCTGGGCCTCGGGTCCCAGAGCCGCCACCTCCGGGCCCGCGGCAGCGCCTACATCCTCAGCAGGGTGACAACGGGCAGTAGCGTGTGTGCCTAGCCCCAGGCTGAGATCCGTGGCCCCCAAGGGACAGGGAGAGGGACCGTTACATGCAAGAGCTCTCTGCAGCCTAGCAGCTGCCTGTACAGCTCCTCCTCATTCTTCTCTTCCTTTTCCAAGACCTCAGCCTGAAGGTTGTGCCTAGCACTCCAGGGACCCTGTTCCTGTGCCTTTGAAATCAAAGGGAAACAGCAATTTGAGTGGCCCTGGGCATGCAGGACCCAGCCTGTTGGCTGTCTTGCCCTGTGCCTTGTGTCCTAGCCCCTGCTAAAGGTGTCCCCTGCAGACCTGAGGCCGGAGCAGACTGCTGGTGGCAGAAGGCCCTGGGCACCCTGGGGACCTAGCTCTGACCCCAGCCTACTGCCACCTCTGAGTCACGGGGTGCCCAGCAGCTACCCTGCCTTGCAGGGCTTTGGCTCCTGGTCTGTCCAGCAGAAGGCAAGCGGATGTCCAGGTCACACTGGGCCACCTGCCTCAGTCCTCTGAGTGCACACTGGTCAATGCTTAATGGCCTCACCCTGGCCCAAGATGGGCAGGACCCTCCACCCCTTACCACAGCCAGCTGGCCATGGACCTGAAGGCAAGAGACAGAGCCAGCCATGGCCAGGAGGGATCTTCTGGGACCTCCAGGAAACTCCAACCCCTCCAGTCAGGGTTCAAGTAGTGGGTAAAACTGTCCTGTGGCAAGTCCTGGGATCCTGTCCTCAGAGAAGGACCCAGCATCATAGGTGGGGTCGCAGGGTGACCTCAGTTGTCTGTCTTGGCTCTGCTGTAGTGACCTGTGAGTTCAGCCACTGCTTCTTAGCCAGGAAGCGAAGTAGATGGCACAGGGTCACTGAAAATGTCCCTTACTCAATTGGACAAAGAATACAGAGCTTGGGATAGCAAATGTGGCAAGTGAAAATAATCCAATATGAAAGTAGTTTTTATGGTGACAAGTGGGAAGTTGTTTACATGTTTGTTTGTTTTTTTGTTTGTTTGTTTGTTTTGTTTTGTTTTGTTTCTGGTACCAGGGATTGAACTCAGGGCCTTGCTCTTGCCAGGCAAGTGCTTATTCTACTTAGCTATCTCCCCGGCCCTTACGTTTTTGTTTTGCATGATGAAAATTTCTGGAGACTGCTGGCACAACCATGTGAATATACTTCAAATAATAAACTGTCCACTCAAAGGCTGAGATGGTAAATTTTATGTCCTGTATGTTTTACCAGTTTTTCATCTCAAAGAACTAATATATGGGTCAGGGAGATGGCTCAGTAGAATAAGTGCTTGCCTGGCAAGCGCAAGAGCCTGAGTTCAATCTTTGGTTCCACAAAAAAAAAAAAAAAAAAAGAACTAAGGTCAGAATAAGTGGTGTCTCAGTTGCTTTTCCTGCTGTTGAGACACCTACCAAGCACACAGCAATAGAGGACAGTCTACTTTGGCTTAGAGTGTGCAGGGGTTTCAGTCCACAGGCAGCTGGCTCCCAGGCAAAGCGGCCCGGCAGAGGGGAGAGGGCACATGCATGGGAGACGGTAACCCCACCCTCAGGAGGCTGAGGCAAGAGGGTTGCTGCAAGTGCAAGGACATCCTGGGCTACATAGTGACACTTGCCTCAAAAGACAAACCAAAGGGCTGGGGATATAGCTCAGTGGTATAAGTGCCTGCCTGGTAACCACAAAGTATTGAGTTCAATCTTCAGTTCCATAAATAAAGTAAAATAATCATACTTAGCTATTTAAAAAAAGGGGGGGGGCTGGTGAGATGGCTCAGTGGTCTAAAGCACCTACTCAGAACAAGCTTAGCAAAGCACAGGGACCGCGGTTCAATCCCCCAGCACCACATGCCAGCCAGCCCCGCCCCCTGGTGGGCTGAGCTGGCCACACACACACACACACACACACACACACAAATAAATAAATTTTTTAAAAAATATATTAAAAAAAAAAAAAACCCAGGGGCCAGGGAGATGGCTCAGTAGGATATGCGCTTGACTGGCGAACGCAAGGATCTGAGTTTAATCACTGGTTCCGCAAAAACAAAACAAAACAAAAACCCAAAACAAAAGCAAATCCAAGTGTAGCCCACTGCTATCCTCCCCAGCTGTCTTCTATTTTAGGAAATCTTAACAAAAGCAGGGAGAATACAAACACAGGTAACTTCCTCTCAAATTAACACTCTAGCAGTGGGAGTTGGCCCCCATATTGAGTGGGAGACCATTTCCAGCTGTCTGCTGCACCCTGTGACATGCAGGAAGCCCAATGGCTGCAAAGGGCACTGGGCCTCAAGCTCTCATCATGGGACACAGGAGGCAGGGGAAGTGGACAGCGGCACACGGCCTCAGCAGTCTTCCTGTGGACACCAAACCTGAATCTCATGAGTCCTCCAGACCATAGCGTAGGGGCTCGAAGGGTGGCCGCATATGGTCAAGACACCACAGGTGCTGACCACATCCAGAGTAAGGACGGTATCTCCAGGCCAAGTCACCTGATATCGTCAACAAATAAATGACATTTTTTTAAAAATTTAATTTATTTATTTATGTGTGTGTGTGTGTGTGTGTGTGTGTGTGTGTGGCCAGCTCAGCCCACCAAGCGCAAGGGTCTGAGTTCAATCCCTGGTTCTGCCAAAAAAAAAAAAAAAAAAAAAAAAAAAAAAAAAAAAACAAACAGCAGTATCAACCAACTACAATGTACAGAAATTTTTTGAATCCTAATTTAAACAAATCAAGGAGACATTTTTTTTTTCTTTTTTGCGGAACCCGGGATTGAATTTAGACCTTTGCGCTTGCCAGGGAAGTGCTTATTCTACTGAGAATCTCTCCCGCCCCAACAAGACATTTTGAGACATAAAATTAACAGATTTGATAGATTATATCAAAAGTCCAGGGGCTGGTGAGATGGCTCAGTGGTCTAAAGCACCTACTTATACTTAGAACAAGCTTAGAAAAGCGCAGGGACCTCGGTTCAATCCCCCAGCACCACATGCCAGCCAGCCCTGCCCCCTGGTGGGCTGAGCTGGCCACACACACAGACACACACACACACACACACACACACACACACACACACACAAATAAATAAACAAAATTAAAAAAAAAATCCATAATGAAGTATTTTCAGGTGAAATAAAATGGTGCCTAGGATTCACCTGCAAACAGTGAAGCCAAAAGGAAGAGGAGAGCGGACACAGGGATAGACAAACCAGGGGCCCAGGTCTGTCATCCAGCTTCTCAGGGGCTGAGGCAGGAGGACCCCAAGTTCAAGCACAGCCTTGGAAACTGAGTGAGATTCTAGCTCAGAATAAAAAATAAAACGGGTGGGGCCAGGGAGATGGCTCAGTGGAATAAGCGCTTCCCTGGCAAGTGCAAGGGCCTGAGTTCAATCCCCAGTTTCACAAATAAATAAATAAATAAATAAATAAATAAAAAAATAAAAATAAAATAAAAAATAAAAAGGGCAGGAGACATAGCTCAGTGTACAGCTGTCATATGTTTGATCCCCAGTACTAAAAACAAAACTGTGGGGGAAATCTCTATACATTCCCTCCACTTCCACAAAAGATGTGTTTGAAATAGCCCATGATACAATGCTTCAACAAAGATTTATGTAATGTCCCTCTGCAAGCCTGCAAGCTCTCTCTCAGTAAGAGCAATTCCTCAAGTATGGAATGAGAATTTCACTTTTTATGGCAACTGCCAAATTTCTTTCCTGGTGTTTGTAACACTATGTTTTCACTGCTTTTCCCACCAACTCAAAACATGTTTTCGTTTTATGTTTTAATTTCTGTCACTCTGATGAGTGGGGTGAATCACACACAATTGTGATTTTTTTTGTGGAACTAGGGATTGAACTTAGGCTATTGAGTTTGCCAGGGAAGCACTTATTCCACTGAGTCACCTCCTGGGCCCTGTGATTTTTTTTTTTTAATGTGAAAAGCTCTTTATAATTCAATCCATAATTCTAAATAATCACCTCACTCACAAGTCAGTAAAAAAAAAA